CTGACAACGCTCATCAGCGACTACCGATGGGTCGATGCGCCACACTCCCCGAGTGGACGAAAGAGAACTCGAAAACGAAGACGACGAAGAAGAGGGCAATGAGGAAACACAGAGGGCCGAGGTCTCGAGCTCATCGGCTGTCGTCGTGCAGACTGCCAAGGTAGAGGAGTGGGCACCGATGGGCACCGTGGCGGGAGAGTACCCCCAGGTTAGCGCGGCCACGTTCCTCACCTTCCTCGCCATCACGTGGGCCTATCGCGAACTTTACAAGGTACCCATATCTCTCGAGTCGTGTGTCCCGTGTTGTGTGCGGTTCTGATTGTGTGCTCGTGTCATAGCGCGTGATGGAGTTCATGTTGTGCTACTACCTGGGAGCCATGCAGCTGGGGCAACGAACAGGAAGATGATTCTTGCTTGTCAGGTTCACACACCCACCACAAGATAAAAAAAAGAATAAACAAACAAGTTACACTGCCTAACTGTTGTCCAAGTCAAGGTGGTAGGAAAACAGACCTTGGAAGCGGTGGGCCATAGACTCCCGGGCCTTCCTCTGGCCCAGCCGATAGTCCAGCACCTTGGGCCAGTTCTTTTCCCAGTATTCGTCCGGCTGGTAGGTCTTAGGCGTCATCCCCAGCTGGCAGTCCTTGCACACCAAGCTGTAGCTTCTCCTGCCTTTTGAACTACTTGGCACCATGTCACACGTGAATGAATTGCAGACTTTAGCCACAATATTGTAAAAACGACACAAATGCCAAAGCAGTAAAAACTCCAAAACAATAAGAATAAGAATAAGAATAATAAAAAGAAAAAAAAAGGAAAGCGTACGCGTGTGGATGTGTGCAAGCGAGCCAGGACTGGGCGTGCGATTGCAGGTAGTCGCGTGTGTAGGTGTTGGGCGGTTTGGCGTTGGCCGCCCTCCTGATCTGCAGTTCCAGCACGTACGGCAGGATTTGGCACATGAAGCTGGAGAGCTTGGCCTGCTGTCTTTGCTGTAGGTCTGCCATCAGCCCCTCTTTCCTGACCACTCCCTGCAGTACGCCCAGCAAAAATGTAAGGAACTTGAATGAATGTAAATCAAAACATGTTGTTGCGTGTGTGCCTTGGTGGAGATGGATAGATTGCGGTAGAGGGACTGGTAGTCGATGTGCCTGGTTTGGCGACGCCTGGCGCCCTTGCCCGTGCGGCTCTCGCTCTGTTTCCACCCGAAGTCGCGTTCGACCAGCGCCCGCCACAACCGCTCCTCGGCATCGATTACAGCTCGCCACCTCTGGCACACCTGCAAACCACGATTCGAGGTGAGCAATGGGGAATGGCGTAGAGAGAGAGGCCCACTTGGCGTACCAGACGGAGCCTGGCCAGTTGTGCAGCGCTGCCCACTTGTTGGAAAACGTAGCACCACACGAAGTCATCCATTTCAGGAAGCTCTTGATCCACAGCGTCGACCTCTTTGTCTTCGCCTCCTGCTGGGACACTTCGCCTTGGGTCCTTCTTCTTCTCCAAGCGTTTCTTCAACTTATTGTTGTGCTTCTTGTTCTTGCTCCTCGATGGTGAGGATGATCTCTGGGAAAAGCCTCGGGGGCGAACACGCACGTCTTGGCAGCCTGTCTCGTGCACGTCATCACCTTCAACGTCGTCGAGAGCAGCGAACCGGTTGCGGAGCCGGGGCAGCGGCTGCAGTGCTGCCCTCCCCTCCTCGGGGCGAGTCGCGAATTCGAATTCGCTTGCACCGTCCCCGTTGACCGTCGCTTCCCTCACTCTTGGTTTGCTTGTGTGCACACAAAACAACTGGAGGAAGGTAGGTACCTTCCATTCATTTTTTCGCTCTCAATTCTCTGAAGAGACTTTCGTGCCTACCTCCTTTCCCTGCTGTTTTTTCTGGTCATTGTATCATTGCAATGTAATGTAACAAAGATAGTTTTGTATTGTAACAATACAACCTTACACACACCTACAATATACCACAAAATTCAAAGGAATTTAGGGAGAGCCCAGCTCGGCATCGCCGGAGCCAGGGCTTGAAGCTTCCACGAGGCGGTCGAAGAAGGCCACCACGTCCTCCATCGACGGTCGCTTGGCGGGCTTGTCGTGCCAGCACTTGGCCATGAGCTTGGCCACGTCGCGCGGACAGTCGGCCGGCACCTGCGGCCGCTTGCCCTCGAGCACATCGAGCGACACGCCCATGAAATTGAGGCCCGCAAACGGCTGCTTCCTCGTCACCACCTGACACACACAGACAACACTCGCCTTGTTAAGAAGGCGGTTGATCGTTTTGGCGGGAAGTGGGGTGTGTGGCTAGCCACGCACCTCCCACATGATGATGGCGAAACTGTAGACGTCGGCCTTCTCCGAGTAGCTCTCGCCGCGGATGATCTCCGGCGCGGTCCAGCAGGGGGTGCCGCAGCGGGTCATCGTCGCGTTCTCCTCCTTGATCCGCGCGAACCCAAAGTCGGCCACCTTCACGTTCCAGTTCTCGTCCACCTGCCTCATCAATTAGCGTTGTGTTGCGTGTTGCGGCGTGTTGCGTGTTGTGTTCGTGCGTTGTTTAAGGGAGGTGTGGCGTACGAGGAGGTTGGACGACTTGAGGTCGCGGTGCACGATGACCGGCCGCAGGGAGTGGAGGTAGTTGATGCCCAGCGCCGCCGAGCGCAGCATTCGCATGCGCCGCAGCCACTCGAGCTTCACGCCGCTCGTGTTGTGGAGCAGCTCGCGCAGGCTGCCCAGCTTCACGAACTCCGTCACAATGCACAGATTGGGCGCCTTCACGCATGATCCTGTGGGTCGTGTCGTGTCACGTGTGGTTAGCTTCAGTTATCAACCGATGATCTGCGTCAGTTGATCAGTTGGTACCGATGAAGAGGACGATGTTGGGGTGGTGGAGCTCGGAGAGGAAGGCCATCTCGGCGCGGAACTCGAGCATGCTGCGCTCGTCGAGCTTCTGTTTGATGAACCGCTTCACGGCCACGTCAACGCCCTTCCATCGGCCGCGGAAGACCATACCGTAGGACCCCATTCCCACCTAGCGATAATTTCCACAGACACATTCCATCAGCCACATTCCACACTCATCACATTGAGTGGTATGTTTCGGTTGAAAGCAATGCAACACATACCTGTTTGCCGAGTTGGATCTCCTTAAAGTCGATGATCCAGCGGCAGAGGTTGGCCGACGTGAGGAAGTTGTCCTCCTTGAACATCATCCCCTCGCCCACCACGCTCTGCACCGTCTCGTTGCGGCGGATCGTGTCGCCCGGTTGCGACAGCGGACCTGAGCCCGCGCTGTCGCTGGTCGGCTCCGCGCTCTCCTCCTGCTCTTCACCGTCCTCGCTCGGCTCGCTTCTCCTATTGTTGAGCCCCGAGGCCACCCCGCCGAAGAACCGGGCCTCCAGCCCCTCCACCTTGAACTCGTACAATCTCGCCCCTGGATCTCCCACACATTTAGTTTAGTTGAGAAACCAAACAAAACGTTTGCGTAAACCATTTGGTTTTTGAAACGTACCAGAGGCTTGGTCGGGGACCTCGAAGCGGCCCAGGCAGGTGAAGTTGTTGCGCCAGCGCTCCCCCAATCCGCCGCCGGCGGCCAGCTTGTCGTAGGCCGACTGGGAGAGGAGCACCTGGCCGCCGTGGGTGAGCGCCGTGATGCGCGCGGCGGCGTTGACCGTCGGCCCCACGTACTCGACCCGGCGGGTCATGGCGTCCTTCACGGCCCGCGCCGCGCCAGCGTTGACGCCCATTCGCACCCGGAGGCCCTTGAACACGACGCGGTCGTCGGTGTGGCCCCACTCCTCGGCCGCTCCAGGGTGGTCCACCAGCGCCGGAGGCCAGTCGACCAGCAGCAGCCGCTGCTGGGCGTCGGCGCACCAGGCCAGCGCGTCGCGCACGTTGTGGAAGGCCATGCAAAACGAGCCCTCGCCGCTGTTCCGATCCCTGATGAACGCCGCCTCGTAGCCCTTGTGCTCCTTCAGCAGCGATCTGTGCATGCAATCGACGATTGTATGGCGAAGTTAGAAAAGTCATAGATGCAGGCCCATCGAGGCGAAGAGGAGTACCGGAGAAGAGCGTTGTGGAGGAGGGTGGCGTCGCGCATGGCGCGCGGGTCGAATTCCCAGAGGGAGGCGGCGCGGGCGATGTCCGTGAAGACGATGGTCACGTCGTCGCCTGACGGGGGCCGTAGGCCGGTGCTGGCACCGGGCGGGTTGTTGAGCTGATCCGACGACGAGCCCGACGAAGTCGACGACGAGGCCGACTGCGACGTGGTCGTTCTTGTGGCCATCGACCTGTGTTCGCGAAATCACCCAAAAATAAGCGAACGAAAGAGCGAAAAGAGAATAAGAACGAAAGAGGAGATTGAAGGCGCAACAACGTACGTCGAAGGGAGGGACCAGTCGGCCTTGCCGCTCGACGAGGAGGAAGAGTTGGTGGATGTCTTGGTGCCGAGCCCACTCGAATCGCCCAGCATGGAGCTCAGGCGCGTCATGATCTCCAGGAATGTGGGACTGGTGGGGCACAAAAAAACAACCAAAAGTCAGCCTGGAGGGACATGAGGGAAAACGATGAGATGCGAAGTCGCGCACCGGATGGAGGGGTCCTGGTGCCAGCACGTGGTGATGAGGTCTGCGAAGTCGGTATGGTCGGCGTCTTCGGGGGATCTCGGGGCGCAGCGAGTCGCGGATCACGGCCACTGCCA